AAATATTTATAAAAATTTCTATTAAAAACATTTATTTATATAGTAGCATTTATTTATATATTTTTTAAAAAAACAAAACAAAAAGTTTTAATCTTAAATCATAAATATAATATAATATTAGTAAATGTTTTATATATATTAAAAAATATATTAAAAAATAAATTAAAAAAAGAAATAAATAAATGAAAATTAAACTATTTTTATAAAAGTTATTAATGATTATTAATAATTTTCATATATGTATTTAATATAGTACAATTAAAAGATAATGAAGAATAAAAATGTAACTCACTGTCGAACGTCTGTTAACAATTCATATTTTGCCTGTGGCACAGGAATTTGGTTAACCATTGAATGTGCAATGTTCGTCAAAAGTGACGCTTGAGGACGCTAGTCCTCCAGTGTGATTTTAATACTACGCGCAACGCGATATTACTTACATATATATAATAACATATGCATATGGATATGCAACCTAAAAATATGAAATCTGGACAGAGTTTTACTGCGCACAACTTTGTTCAAAGAAAAAAGCGGGAATATTTAAAATTTTTTTGCATTAAAATAAATTCTTTTAATATTTAATTTTTACATTATACTTTTAATAAAAATGCAATAAAATAATAATAATATAAGAAATATTAAATACTTATTATTAATAGATATTAGTAGATATTACTTTGTCATTTTAATATTTTTAAAGGACAATATAGTATTATATTGTCCTTATATATTATAATATTCTTCTTTATTTTTTTAATTAAATTAATAAATTAGGAAATAAAGTATAAATGAATATGTTTGCAAGATTTATAATTTGCTGCATATATTTTTCAGAATAAATACATTTTTATGAGTAATCATAATAAATGTTTACAAATAAATATAAATTCAATATTCATAAATGTATGCATATATTATATATTATTCTAATATATATTAGATTTTAGATATAATATTTTAATTTAATATATAATATATATAATATATATTTAATATATAATAATGTTATAATATATAATATATTAATATATATTAATACCATAATATATTTAATACCATTATCATATCATTTCAAATACAATTTTTTTAAGTACTATAGTATAATACAGAAAATATATACATCTATTATATTATCATAAAATTATATTCAACAATTTTTTAAAGTACATTATTAAAGAAATTAGTAAGTCTAAAAAATAATCCTTGCTAATGTTTTCTATTTTTTTTAAATAAAATTTAATGTAAATAAAATTACAATTAATAAAACCATATAGATGAAAGGATATAAATTTGAAATTCATATAGTATCAAATTTAAACTTTGTTAATTGTATATATTTGCAAATAAAAATTAAATACAGATCATTAATCAGATCAAAATTGTATAAAAAATTTAAAACTAATTTTTTTATTATTTAAGTACTTAAATAATTTAAGTATTTAATATAATAGTTAAATATGATTCAACATAAGAAATAAAAATAAAAATATATAATAAATAATTCAACATAAGAAAGAATAAATTTCCTCATACTAATTTCTTAATTCAAAAGTAAACAAGTAATATTATTATTTTAAATAAAATATTTTATATAAAAGTTTCTAATTAAAATTACATAAACAAATGAATGTTTTGATATTAATGAAATTGTATGTTTTATATAACTTACATAAGAATAGAATTAAAATTTTACTTATATTTAATAGAAAAAAATTTATTATATAATATAATTTATATAATATAATTACTTATTGAGTTCTATTACTAACTAATGCCTCATCTTCTAATTTAGGAAAACGTTTATAACGTTCTTGTGTTACCAAATAAACTGATAATCCACCAAAAAGAATTAATAAAAATCCAATTACATTAATTAATATTGCTTCATCTACAAGCTTGGAATAGTTTTCTCTGAAATTGCATATTATGATGTTATAATAAATGAAATGATTAATATATTATTTATATATATAATTTTATTACAAAATATTGATAATAATTGATATAATACAATCAAAATGTACTTACTTTAAAGCAAAAATTGCTTTTTCATTAAGTCCTAAAAGACAAGAAGTAATTACACCAATGAATCCTGCGATTCCAAAGTATACATGAATAGGCATGTAAGAAGTTCGTAATGAAATTTGTAATTTTGGATATAAAAAACAAAGAAATCCAGCAAGCCACTAAAATATAAAAATTTAAATATTTCATTTCTTAAGTAGTATTTTTTATACCTTCAAAAAATATTAATATATAAATGAATTAAATAAAAAAGAAATAAAATTAGAATTATTAAATTAAATATATATATAGATAAAAAAAAATGATTAAAAATACCTGGCAGCAAAATAAAATTATACTAGTAAGTCCAATCCAACTATGAAGACTATACATATTTGGAATAGGTTTTAGATTTAAATTATGACTATCAAACACAGCTACAAGTGAAATTACAACTAATACAATAGTTAATAACATTATACTAGCATGAATTAATTTCAGTTTTTGTTTTCGTGCATTTCTTTGTGTTCTATATATTAACATTCCTAAAAAAAAAAATAAAAATAATTAATTAATTAAAAAAATTAATTCAGCTTTTTGTCAACTTTTCAAATTATTGAATTGTTAAAAATACCATTAGCATATAGAAAAACAAATCCTACAACCATTAAAAGAGGATGCCAATTAAATTCTAATTCTGGATTAGAATTCCAAGCGAAACCACCTCTATAATTGCCACACCAAATTATAACTAGAATTATCAATGTTGCTCCAATGATTTGCATTAAAATAGTTAATGGTTTAAATCCTTCAAGATTTTCAGATGACCTCTCTTCAATTTGCTCCATATCTGAAAATAAAATTAATGATATTTAATTAATATTCTAAAATATTATTGTAAAAATTAATAAACAAAATTCTACAAAATTGATTAAATATAATATTAAATACATGTAAAATAAACTTTTAAGATAAATCAAAGACATACCCAAACATATCTGATATTGATATGGATAATTAGTTGACATAATTTAATTAAAAAATTTATTCTTTATTTTATGAAGCATTAAATTTTCTATTTGTATTATTTTGCTCAAATTTATAATATAATGTAATATAAATTTATAATAAAATGAATATAATACTATTCATTTTTAAATTATTGATCAATATATATATAAATCTTTTTTTCGTTTTTTAATAATATTATATAACAATATTTTATTTAATTTTTATCATTATTATTATTTTCACTATTATTATCACTATTATTTTATTTTATTAAATTTTTATTAATTTTTATTAATATAAAAAATAATTTTTATCTATTATTCTATCATAGATTAAAAAATTTTACAATATTTTACAATATTTTAATATATAAAATTTTTTTTTAATTGTACTTTATAAATTTATTTTAAAAATATATTACATTTTGATCTATAATATTATATTTACATATATAAGATAAACTTATTTCTTTAACATATGGTAACAATTCTTTACTTTTTTCTTCTAATTTAATCTAAATATGATTTATAAATATATTTTATATTATTAAATATATATAATTTAAATTAAATTATAATACATAATATTAATAATTTTTGTTTTACGCAATTTTTTTTATTTATATTAGATCTAAATTATGAAACTGATGTATTATAATTTGTAATAACATATTTTGCAATAATATTTAAAAAAATAGCTTCCATAAATCAACAAGTATTAAGTTGCTATTACTAATATGATTAATACGATTTTATGCGCCAAATTATATTTATTGAAATATTTAATATTATTAAATTGAAAAAGTTGAAAGATATATTAATGTATAAAAAAGAAAAAAAATATAATTTTTTATATAATTTTTGTTTATATATATTTTTTTCTTTAATTAATCGTGATACATGAAATTGATACTATACCTGCACAATCTCTATAAGATTCAGAGAAGAATTCAACAGGTATTACGCAAGTTCTTCAACGACGTAAAATATAAATTATCGATTATATGCAATTTTGTGATATTTAAATTTATCGCATTTCTAGTCAATATAATATTTAATTATAAAAAAATATTTCAATTTGAATAAAATTAAATAATTTA